CCCACCCACCTACTATAATTTTAACAGCAATCACCTACGTACTATATTTTTATGTTCTACTACCTATGATTTCCCTCATGACTCACTATTCAGTAATGGAAATATTGCCGTATACGCTGAGGGCTACTTTCTGGTCACCATCGTTAGTTCTATCATTACGGTTTCTTTACATATCACCTTAAGTAAGGAGCGGGGAAGGTTAGTGTAGATACATATTAATCTTGTATTATGTATTCATATGTTTATATAGTGGCTTGTGTATATTTACACAGCTATGTGCACTAATGCACACATGCAGATCTATATATGTATATGCTTTTCCTCCCGGTTTTGCCTTTATTTTATTTTCTGTAACCCCCTTTTTTTGTTAACTGATATGTCCCGGAATATTTGTTCGAAATAGCAAAGCGGTTGTTGTCTACTGTAACCGGGTAGGACAATCTAGCAGGTAACTGTAATGGACTGGTCCTCGTCGTAGTGGTAGGCAATAAGCATCGTCAATAGGCATCGTCCATGTACCTCCACATCAGTCTGTATTTATGGCTGACATTATTAGGGGTGAGGGGATTACATCATTAAAAATAGATTTCCGAATTTTTATCCAAAAATTTGTATCCATTTTATTGTTCCTTCCATTTTTTTCCTTTTAATTTTATTTTATTTAATAATATTTTATTACTGTATATTCCATTTTTCTTTCTCATCACATGTTATAATAACAGGCCGTCTGAAATTGACAAGTTGGTCGGACAATTTTTGAATACATCTGACTACACGCGAAACGTCTCTTGCCCCTCCGCAACCTACAACTCTTCATCTATGTTTACAATCTTACTTCCCCGCTAATAATAGAACTGTGTAACACTTTTACACCGATCAAAGTTTTAAATCTATTTTCATAAAAAGTTTTGCTCACAGAGAAATAGACAGAGATTAGGTCTTTGCTAATAATATGATATCCACCAGAAAATACACCGCCTACAAAAACATCTATCGGTGAGTAATTCCCATTTCTCTGTTTATTTCTCGGTCCGTTGATGAAGGACACAGGCGTATCTAAAAATGTCGAACTTAAAAACTTTTTTCCGTATTTCATTTCTGTCATATGGTTAATAATAATTAATAAATGTTTTTTGTACTGATTATATTGGTACTCTTTCTTTTGTCCTTGTTTTATTAACTAACCTATCTATTTTACATATTATAAGAAGCACACGTAGACCTTTCTTCTAATTATATATATGCAATTATACTAAAATGCAAAGATTATATATAATAAATAAAAATTGTTCACTTATGACAGTCATTTCACAGTTTCAGAGTTGCTGAATTGCATTAACTCTTCCGAGGATTAAATGGCAAATTTGGCACCATCACTCCTGAAGATCGGGATGGAATCCAACAAAACTCAGTGTAGAGTCATTCATAACGTAAATTTATTTTTATTTATTATTGATGATCTTGACATCAAACTCGGGAATTACAAAAAACGTTATCTTCCAGAATTACTCCGGTTGACAGTTTCTTGGCGAAATATATTTTTTTAATTTTTAAACACACACACACACATATATATATATAAGTTATTTCAATCACCGTGTGTGTATAAAAACTGAAAACCTATCTCCATCGTCACATACAATTATTTTTAGTGGATATTTATGTTTCAGTAGATTCTTCGTTTATTTTTTTTTAAAACAGTATTTTATTTTCCTCTACCGGCCTAAATATTCGAGAAATCCTATTCAAGAAAAATGCGACCCCCGGAAGACGAAGATAAAACACACAAATAAGGTTATCCACTAAAAATAACGTTTATATATATATTATATATATATATATATATATATATATATATATATATATAGGATGACTATAAAGTATCTTTACAATTTAAAAAAATATATTACAAAGCAACTGATGAAATATCTTAATCAGATTTGTTCTATGAACTCAGTAGTTATCAAAGTTTTTAATCTCATTAAATTTGTCTATTTCAGGCATCCTGTTGATGATAGAGGCACTGTTAAATGAACCCTTAACATTTCCAGACCGGTGGATTGAAAAGGATGGCCCAATTCCCTGGCCACCTCACTCATAAGATATCACTCCCCTTGACTTCTTTCTATTGGGTTATGTTAAAGATATCGTGCATCGAACAACTGATGCCATTGCCACCATTGATGAGGCTATGCTACAGCGAACATGGCCAGAAATCGAGTACCGTCATGATGTGCTTCGTGCAACTAATGGCGTCTATATAGAGGTGGGTTAAATTAGCTTAAAAAAATCAATATCTACTCTTCATTTTGTAAAAAATTTCTACATAATATGTTCATTTGCTTTTGTAATTTTTTTTTTTTAATTGTAAAGAGACTTTATGGACACTATATAATTTAAATAAAAACAGACCACTTTAAGGTTCCATGTAATAAATTATTTCACCACAGCCCTTTTAAAAGGACTGCGGATCATCAGACTTTACTTCCAAACAAAAAATGAAAAGAAAATTTACACATTTTTGACGGGCCGTATTAAACATATGTAAATTAACGAAGTGAGGAAGTGAGGGTGGAGAGAGAAGACATGAGTGAGTTAGCAGATATTGACACATTTAAACGGTTAACTTAACGGAAGTTATATATTGATATCGAAGGGGTAGAGAAGAAAAAACCCATAGAGAGAAAAAGAGAGAAGGAAGTTATGAGAGAAGGTGTCACTAATTTTCTTTGTAAAAAAAAAAAAACAAAAAAAAAAACGGCTAGAAACAGACGCTGTTATTTTGTTTTACTTTGAAAGTGTTATTTTGGGGGTTCAAAAAGATTATAATGTTTGATATAAATTTGAATGTCTCTAGACTGTCTACAAATAATTTAATTTGATGTTTGTTAGTGTCAAAAATGTGTAAATTTTCTTTTCATTTTTTGTAAATTTTCTTTTCATTTTTTGTTTGGAAGTAAAGTCTGATGATCCGCAGTCCTTTTAAAAGGGTTGTGGTGAAATAATTTATTACATGGAACCTTAAAGTGGTCTGTTTTTATTTAAATTATTTGCTTTGGATTTACATTGAGCTCTCTGGATTTTATCCTTAGGTTTACCCATACGGATTACCTAGTTTTTCATAAAGTATATATATATATATATATATATATATATATATATATATATATATATATATATGGCATTCACACGCGTTTGGATAAAAGAAATAGCTTTTCAAGTTTTATGTTTGTTGGATTTTTTGACATATGGCATTACAAAAGATTAACATTTTGATCATGAAATTTCGATTGAAAAGCCATTAGATTTGAAATCGTTCAATTAAACATATTGTCATAGACGATGAGTGAGATTCGTTCACAAATACATGCCAGTTTGTCATGTTTTTGTAGATATTTTATGAGGACTTTGACATATTTTTGTTACAAGTTTACGTAGAATAGAAAATCGATCTTGAAAATGAAGAGCCAGAATTCAATGTTTATGCATAGATGTAGATGATAGTGATGGAAGGAATGAAATAAACTAAAAAATACATGCTTGCAAAATTATTAATCGATTTATATGTCAGAGTTCATTTTTAAATACGTGTATTGATTCAGACATTAGGTGATGCGCCATTTTTTCGAGTCTTTCCATTGACTCGTAAGTATTTAAGTCTATATCGGTAACAGTTTTCTTTTTCCTTTTTTTTTTTTTTTTTTTAATATTTATTTAGGATTCTGGTTCTTCTTTTAGTCCGCGGAGATCCCAGACGCGTAAAGATCCATCGAAGGATCCGGTAAAAAGTTTCTGGTCAACAATCTGGCATTTTGTTTTTCGAATAGAAGAAAAGAAAAAAAGAAAGAAAAAAAAAAAAAAAAAAGGAAGATGATTATAAAACAGAGACAAACAACGAACATTTACAAAATCTCGTGAAAGCAAGACACGTGATAATAGAAGAAAAAAAGCGAAAACATCAATAAAAAAAATCCTTGTTTAACGTCGTAGGGAATTTTTGAAGAAATATTCGAACTATGAGAATTTTTGAGATGGGTGATTATCATTATTATGGATGGGTGATTATCATTATTATTATTATACATGGATTTATTCATATTATTTTATTCTTATAAATAGTGTTTATTAATTTTATTGTCACTTCTCACAAACAAAGAAAATGTATAAATTCACATGTTTAAGTTTTTTTTTAAATTCTAAACATTGCTTTTTAAAAACAAACATTGCCGAGGAGTGAAGGTAGTTAAAAATAATAGCGGTGTCATGGGAAAAACCGTTCTTTTGATACTGCGATTTTTTGCAGGCATGACTGTCCAAGATTGCCGAAATGTGTAATAAGGTCGGAAGATGAATTGTATTATTTTGACAGTACTTTAAATAAAACGACGTTAAAGAAAGACTTGCTGCATTCCACGTGAATTTAAGCCAATATTCAAGTAACATATATCGATAAAAAAAAGAAAGCTTTAAAATAATTAAATGGCAGTTAAGTGCTTTTTTTTTAGAATTAAATATAAAAGAAAAAAATAAAAGATAACATATAAATGAAAACTACTTTAAAAATTTTGAGATGAGGAACTCTCATTAGGGAGGGAGAGAACAAGAAGAAAGAGGAGAGATTGGTGAGAGTGAGGGTGAGAGTGAAAGAGAGAAAGGCACCAGTGTCTTCATCTTGATTGTTATAGTCACAATGTTTTCGTCTTTCTTTAGGTGTGTTACATGATTATACTCTCCTACAGATAGCAGTAGGAGAACAATTTACCCCCGCAGATTGAACAAACGGCTCGATTCGAAAGACAGACCCCCTGAAAAGGCCGCTAGGTTCAACTACACCGTGACTATAACGATCAAGAGAAGTATAAATAATTTGAGTATAAAAGTTTTTAATAATCATTCACAAATATGACACTAGTATTTGACCATTGTTTTTCTTTGTCTTTAAAAGGAATAGAGGCAGAAAGAGAGGAAGTTAATATGAGTTTATGAGGAGGGGAGAATGATCAACTGACAGGGAGGAAGGAGAGATGGCAAGGAGGAGATAGGGGGAAAGAGAGGATAGGAGAAATTTTATGTGAGAGGGAGAGAGTGAAAGAGACGCGGAGAGAGAAAGTGTAAGGAGAGAGGGAGAGAGCAAAAACGTAATTATAGGAGGGCGAAAGAGTAAGGAGAGAGAGAAAGGAAAGAGGGGAGAGAGAAATTTTAATGATAGAGGGATAGAGAGAAAGAGAAAGTATAAGGGGAGAGAGAAAGAGTAAGATTACGAGGAGACAGAAAGTGTAAGGATAGAGAGAGAGAGAGAGAGAGAGAGAGAGTAAGGTTACGGAGAGAGATAAGTAAGGATAGTTAGGGAAGAAGAAAATAATACGGTTAAGGGGTGAGAAAATGAGTAAAGACAGGGGAGAGAAAGAGTAAGGATAGGGGAGTGAGAGAGAGAGTGAAAAAAGGACAGGGGCTAGAGTAAAAAAAAATAAGGATAGGGAGGAAAGAGAAAAACAAAATGGGAGAGAGAAAGAGTAAGGATAGCGGGAGAGAGAGAGAGATTAAGGGGAGAGAGAAAAGGATGGGGTGAGTGAGTAAAATTAAGGGGAGTGGGAAAGAGTAAGGGAGAGAGAGAGATTACAGGGAGAGAGAAAAGGATGGGGTGAGTGAGTAAAATTAAGGGGAGTGGGAAAGAGTAAGGATAAGAGGAAGAGAGAAAGAGTTACAGGGAAAGATAAAAAGTAAGGATAGTGGGAGAGAACGAATAAGGAGAGAAATAGAGAGAAATAGTACGGTTACGGGGAGAGAGAAATAGTACGGTTACGGGGAGAGAGAAATAGTACGGTTACGGGGAGAGAGAAATAGTACGGTTACGGGGAGAGAGAAATAGTACGGTTACGGGGAGAGAGAAATAGTACGGTTACGGGGAGAGAGAGAAATAGAGAGAAATAAGGTTACGGGGAGAGAAATAGTACGGTTACGGGGAGAGAGAAATAGTACGGTTACGGGGAGAGAAATAAGTTGGGGGAGAGGTTACGGGGGGGAGAGAAATAGTTACGGGGGAGGAAATAACGGTTACGGGGAGAGAGAATGAGTAAGGTTGCGGGGAGAGAGAATGAGTAAGGTTGCGGGGAGAGAAAGAGTAAGGATAAGAGAGAGAAAGAGTAAGGATAAGAGAGAGAAAGAGTAAGGATAAGAGAGAGAAAGAGTAAGGGCAGCGAGTAGAGAAAGAATAAGGATAGGGAGGAAAGAGAAAAAGGATATGGGAAGAGAATAAAGACGGAGGTACATATTACTGGACAGGCGAAGAGAAAATGTAAGGACAGGGGGCGAGAAAGAGTAAGGGAGTGAGGGAGAGTAAGGACAGGGAGTAGAGCGAAAGAAGTATAGAGAGAAAGAGTAAGGTTACATGGAGAGAAAAAGAGTGAGATTGGGAGGAGAAAGAAAGAGTAAGGATGGGGTGAGAGAGAGTTATATTAAGGGGAGAGAGAAAGTGTAAGGAATGAACAGAGAAGCAGAAAGTCAAGGAAGAGAGCAGAGTGTGATAGATGTAATGGAGGGAAAAATAGAGAGAAAGGGCATAAAAAATTGACATTCTTTGTTCTAATTAGATAAATAATAAACAAAAAAAAAAAAAAAAATCAAGAAAATGTCATTATAGTTTCTGAAATTAAATAATTCGGTCAAATCAACCAGTGACATGAAATTAAAAAGAAGAAAAAAGAATGTAAATCTTTCATTTAATGTTTTCTTTTTTTCTATTTATATGCAAAATAAAGAAAAATGTCACTATTCATATCCCAACCAAAAATGAAAAAGACCTTCTATACACTCTGCAATTTGTTTTCAAGGACATTCTTATACAAAATACACAATATGAAAACATCGCATTAAACACTGTTTGATAGCAAAACATTTCTTGGTTTTTATATAAAATTAACTATAAGAAAATAAAGAATAAACCTTTCGTAATAATAAAGAAACAGAAGCAAATGTTGTTATTCAGTTACCACAAAAACACAGTTAATACATCAAGCATATATAAGGAATATATATTATAAAATTGAAGCGGACACTTTGCATAAGCTGTTGTTTAAATACTGGTTGGCCATCAAGTTTAACGACGACAACACTGAAAAGCATCTTTGATGTTTTTTACGGCTAAGACAAATACCTGGATGCAGTTAATGGCTTGCAACCCTTTCACCCGGAAAACACGTTTTAATCCGCCAGATATGGCATTGTAGCATCGTATGCTTGTGTCTCCAGACCCTGTGAAGACTTTGTAGAATGTACAGCGCCAAAGAATATAAACGAAGCAGAAAAATAAAATAAAGAAAAAAAGTGTGTTCGTGAAATGAAAGACTATTGTAATAATATAAAACAAAGGAGATAGTCCTTTGTTTTTTAAACAATTTTACTCATACACATTACTAAAACTAATTTCCTAATTTTGTGTGACCATGCATTCATAGATACAGTTTTATAAATTCGTGTAAAGTTGGAAAAGATTTTATGAAATATTATTTGCGTTCAATTACTCATTGAGAAATGTTTCTTTTAGTATCAAATTTCAGGGCTTGTGAGTTATGCGCTCTTGCAGTTCTTTGGTTTATCGACATTTTTATGTACACTATTTCACTGTTTTTCGCTGTTTATTGATGAGACAAATAATATCAATATTTCTCTGTCAAGTTTGCAGTGGTGACGTATGTTGCATACACATAGCTACGCCTCATACCTTTCTGTTCCATTCCTGGTGCTTTAATCGATGGTAAATCAATCATTATTGTTAACTTTGCACAATATTCGGACGATTTGGATTTGCAAACAACTGATCAATATACAAAGATGAGGACCGTATTCACGAACAAGCTTTTGTCAGTTCCTCTCTGAAAAATACATTGAGTGAATTTTGAAAGTGTTTACCAAAAGAAGAATATTTTCAAAGAATTTGCTCAAATATTGAGTAACTGAACAAATTACATATTTTAGATATACAACGTTTCACTCTGGCCGTTTTCTAAAATAATTATATAAATAAGCCTCTTACATACAGTATACATACGAGAAGCTGGAAAGTTTTCGGCGCGATCAAGGAGACATTTATAAAAAGAATGACATTGGGTTATTTGGATATATTTTAGAAGTGAATTAAACAGAGGAACTTTTCAGGATTACGCTGTGTGTGTGTGTGTATGTGTGTGTGTGAGAAATACCTACCACATAATGATAAGACATTAGTGCCAATTGTAGCTTCATCCAACATCTATGTTATAAATCATATTCTCGAGTTCTCGCTGATTGTTCTCGATTTACACGTTCTTTCTCGCATTTCCTGTCTTCTGTGTTCATACACGTCTCTCTCTCCCTCTCTTATCAGTCTCTCCTTTCATCTCCCTTGACACACACAGACACACGACAACATCAACGTAATCTTGAAAAGGGACGGTGGAGTAATCGATAGCTGCTCGCATTGAGGAAACGGGTAGCGGAGTCCGAATTCCAGTCGAGTTCATTACGTGCTAATACCCTTGGGAAAGAGATGAATCCATCTCTTCTCTATCTGGGTTCTATAGGCATTGGTTGGCGACTAGTCTAGGAGAAGGAACACTTTGAATTCAGACCAGCCTGAAATGATTTGGGCTCCACCAGGCTATCTTCACCAAGACCACTTCTACAGCCACTGCAGTAGATGTGGTAGCCCTGCGATCCTAATCCTAATGGATCTCTGGACTCGTAAAATATGATTTCTGCCACCACCCCAATATATATATATATATATATATATATATATATATATATATATATATATGTGTGTGTGTGTGTGTGATCTACAGACAGACTGTTTCGCAGCTCATCAGTTTGGCCAGACATTCGATTGCCTCAAGTCGGAATCGAAACCCGACTGATTTGGTATCAGTCGGAGACTCTACCTCCATGCCGTATGTAAAAGAATTAATGGATCTTATTTTTAATCCGACATTTTTATTACTTCAAACGTTATTTTTAGTGCATACCCGCGTTTGAGATTTGTGTTTGGCCGAGCGGAATAAATCACATCGGATCAAGTCGTGGTTTTTCCTACAAAGGGGGCACGCAGGTTCGAAACCTGCTGGAGAGCACATTTTTCACGAGTGTGCAGGCCGATAGACACACCGTTTAAAAATAAACAAATACAGGGTCTCTATTTCAAACACGGAAATACATTAAAATAACGTCTTAAGTAGTAGTAGTAGTAATAATAATACTATGTATGTGTATATACATAAATAAATTGCTATATTTACAGATGAGTACTCGATATCGAGCGTTCCTAGATATAGGTTTTCCTATATGCATACTCGTTCACACACACACACATATATATATATATATATATATATAAGCAAATATATGGGTATAGATCCGACAGTATGAAGAAAAATATACGGAACAAACAAACAAAAATCCTTATATGCAATTATGCTGTTTTAATGTTAATATAATGTCAACATGACGTTTCGGTCTAATAAATCATGTCCAGGACATTTTCATAAAATTGAATTGATAATCAATTCAATTATACTTTTCATGAATATGTCATGAAGATGGTTTATTAGACCGAAACGTCCGACGTTGACATTATATTAAATTAAAACAGCATAATTGCATATAAGGATTTTTGTTTGTTTTTTCCGTATATTTTTCTTATATATATATATGTGTGTGTGTGTATTGTATTATATATTGTACATATATTGTCGTACTGAGTTGAATACTTGCAAAATCTTAAATATCTCTTGAATAACAGAGTTTTAATTCTGGTCGAAGATGTATTCACTTTGCACTAATGCCCTTGTGAAAGGCATGCATCCATCTTTTCTATCACCTCAAAATTGTGTATAAAGTAGTAAAGAAGACTGGCTTATTTAGCTTTGGTTGGTAACCAGTCTTAGAGTAAAGCAGCACTGAATTCTAAGCTATTTCAGAAAACATCAGGAAACCACTCCAATACTTTTTCCAAGAGCAGTCATAGCAATAATTTTTCTTAAAAGCAAAAGCTTTATTACACTCAACAAACTTCCCAATTACGATAAGAGTTTTTCAAAGTTTGGAGATGAAACATTTTCATTATATTGTTTTTTTTTTTTTTTTTTTTTTTTTGCCAAAAGTTAGTAACGTGTATGTATGAATGCTGGTGTGTGCGTGATAATAGACAGTTTTATTTTATTACCAATAGAGTTTTTTTTCCCTTTCATGACTTGCAAAAGCTTAGAGAATAAAATATTATCCGAATCACGTGATTCTTACGCAAATGTTAGATGAATGGGCTAGAGGCAACAATGTCTCAGATTTTGAGCGTCATGTAACAGAACCTGTTAATAAAGGGCAAAAGGAAAGAAAGAATTTACGTTTCTTTTTTTTTAATAAGGTTTTGCGTACCATTATCAAAAAAGGAAATAACATTATTTTCTCATTACTGTTTCACTAGTAAACATGTCTTATTAGGACCCATAAACATTAGAGGCCTTTCTTTTGCTTAAAATATCAATATATTCCGGGGAAGGATATTGTAGGTGTCAAAAGTAGGCTCATCCGGACTTGATCCACAAATAGTGACACTCTTAAAATTCTAGAATTACCCGTGGGATGAGGAGTTATCATTATTTCCAGGATTTACATTTTCTTTTTTTAAGCATTACGCCCCGAGCAAGGCGTGAAGCCACTAGGATGCAGGGGGTTTCAGAAGATTTGGAGCGAGAGCAGATAGGAGAGATAGAAGAAAGGATGAGGAGAAGGATAGTGGGTAGATCAAGGTAACTGGAGATGTCGATTGACATTACATTTGAATAGTTGGAGATTATAGCTCTCAGGGAAACAGTAATTGGGAAGGGTGTTCCACAGGCGAGAGGTGCGAGGTATGAAGCTATTGGAGTAGAAGAGACGGTTACATTTAAAAGTTTCTACAGTGTACAGGTGGGAGCGGGATGACAGCCTCGTAGGGCGCTTGAATTCATGGAGTCTGGGGACCAATGAAAGCAGCTCATCGGAGCAATTACGATGAAAGTACTTGTAGAAAAGACAGGGAGAGGCGACGGCGGACATGCGGACTTTATTTACTGGCACGAGGGCTATTATATTTTTGCCTCAAGGACGTCTGCAAAAGTGACACGAGGGCGATGGACATCGAGAAGTGGGAAGACCTCGCCAACGATCGCTCAAGCTGGAGACGCGATTTACACCGAGAGCTGGCGCGAGGAGAGAAGATATGAAGGCTTGCCACCGAGGAGAAGGGTACTCGATGGAAAGAAGACGACAGAGCGACATCGGGGGAGGGCGTCTTCACATGCATTCGTTGCAATTGAGACTGTCACTTTCGTGTAGGCCTGTACAACCATAACATATGCTGCGCTGCCATCATCAGCCGTGGCATAACTATTTAGTAGCAGATCCAAGGCCTGACAGATGCCACACACACACACATACATATATATATATATATATATATATTCTGGGCATTAGTTGGTCAGACCGGGTCATCAGTGACGTAGTTCTCACCCGCGCCCAGTTTTCCGGCCTATATGCTCTTCTCCAACAGTGTCAGCTCCGCTG